CATAGCTCACGTTGCGCCCGATCGCAGCGCGTCCCTATAGGCGGCGTCTTTTTTCTCTGCGGCTTCTTGACATTCCTCATCGTACCAGTTGTTCTTTCGGGCTCGCTGAAATCCAACTACTTCTTCNTACGGAGCAGGTGGTGTTCTTCAACGTCATTTTACACAGCCGTATTAGTTTCGCGGGCATACCAAATTCAGACATCGCGGCATAAAGGCAACTTCTCTTCGTGCTGTCGAAAGCGGCTTTGAAATCGACAAATAGATGGTGTGTGTCGATCCTATTCTCGCGGGTCTTTTCCAAGATTTGGCGTATTGTGAATACCTGATCTATGGTGGATTTTCCAGGCCTAAAGCCACACTGATAAGGTCCAATCAGCTCGTTGACGGTGGGCTTCAGTCTTTCGCACAATACGCTCGATAAGACCTTGTAACCTATGCTTAGAAGGCTAATTCCGCGGTAGTTGGCGCGTATGGCGGGGTCGCCTTTCTTGTGGATTGGGCAGAGCACACTTAAATTCCAGTCGTCGGGCATGCGTTCATCTGACCATATTCTGCATACGAGCTGATGCATGCACCTCATCAGCTCCTCGCCGCCGTACTTGAATAGCTCGGCTGGCAGGCCGTCAGCTCCAGCAGCTTTGTTGTTTTTCAGCCGCGTAATCGCTATTCGTACCTCGTCATAGTCAGGCGGTGGGACAGCTACTCCATCATCATCGACTGGGGACTCGGGTTCGTCTTCCTCACTACTTTCAGCGCTGCTACCATTCAGTAGGTTATAAAAGTGTTCCCTCCACAATTTAAGTATATTCTGGACATCGGTCACTAGGTCGCCATTGTTGTTCTTACAGGAGTTCGCCCCGGTCTTGAAACCTTCCGTAAGTCGCCTAACCCTCTGGTAGAATTTTCGGGCGTTCTTCCTGTCGGCCAGCATCTCAAGCTCTTCGCACTCACGTATTTCGGCCTCTCTCTTCTTATTGCGGCAAATACGTCTCGCTTCCTTCTTCAGTTCCCTATAACGGTCCCACATGGCTCGCGTTGCGCCCGATCGCAGCGTGGCCCTGTAGGCGGCATCTTTTTTCTCTGCGGCTTCTTGACATTCCTCATCGTACCAGTTGTTCTTTCGGGCTCGCTGAAATCCAACTACTTCTTCGGCGGCGGTACTTAATGATCGGGAAATGTGGTTCCATTTGCTCGCGTATGTCGGATTGTTGAAGAGTGCTCTCAGAGGCAGGTGTGTGAGTCGAGTGGCGAATAAATTGGCCGTCTGTTGTGATTGCAGCTTTTCGACGTTAAGCTTTCCTTGCATTGTTGGGCGCACATTTTTTNACGGCATAAAGGCAACTTCTCTTCTTGCTGTCGAAAGCGGTTTTTAAATCGACAAATAGATAGGGTGTGTCGATCCTATTCTCGCGGGTCTTTTCCAAGATTTGGCGTATTGTGAATACCTGATCTATGGTGGAT